TGTAGGGAAGAAATGACTGGAAGGAAAATCCACCTGAGGGGATAGGACCTTTTATTTTCTTGGCTGAAATCTGTCAGAGAACGAGAACGCTATTCCTGTTTGATTTCTAAAGCCGGGTGAAAGCCAGGAAGACAGTGGCCTTTGCGTTTTGCAAATGTTAATGTTAATCAAGTTAATCAAGTTTACTTAAAGCTAGACAACGCGTAACCTGAGCTGTAGCAGCATCTTTTGACTCCTTCCCCCACCAGGGCCTGGAAGTGTGGGGCTCTGCCCTCTCCCCCGTCAGTCCTCCCCTGGGTGCCAGGGTCTCTGCACAACACTGCCCCCCAGGCACCCCCCCCTTCTTCCCGGGTTCTGCCCCACCCACCCTGCCTGGGCTTCTGCCCTTGGCTCCAGCGGGACTGCACTCTCATCGCTGCGATTTCCGCTGCCGCCCATCCTTCTCCGCCTCCCCCCTCCCCCAACCCCGGGCCATCTGTGTGTCTGTCTGTCCGTCCTCCTCAGGGCCTGCCTGCAGACCGTAATGTCTCTCTTCTGGTCCGGACGCTCCCCAGACCTCTCTTGCGGGCACCACTGCCTGAAGGGTAAAGAGGCCTTGGGGGAGGGGTGTTCTGTGGTCTTCCTGCCTCTTCCTGGATCTCTCCGTACCTGCACTCCACCCCCCACACCAGACTAGAGACTCCCTGATCCTAAACACCCCCGCCGACCCACCCCCTGCACCCTGCAGCTTCCGTGCCTTCTAGGCTGGCTTTCGTTGGTCTTCTGTTTTGTTTCCTTCTGTCTCCTCCTGCCCTTCTGCCTCGTGAGACAGGGAGGCTGAACAAAGCAGAGGCATCGGAGACATTTGTGGGGGGGGGGAGCGGGAGGGGCAGGGAGGTCAGTGTTCCAGAAAGTTCCGTGAGCTCACTGATGGAGTGCGCACCTGGTGAGCTCACGTTGGCAGCTGCAAAACTTGTTTTCAGATTCCAGGTTCCCTGCTGACTGCTGGTGTGACCTGGGGCAAGTTACTTGACTGCCCTGGACCAACTTCCTTGGCTGTTAAACCAGGTTAATAGGCACCACTCTGCATTGTTTTGTGAGGAATAAGTGAAATAGAGCAAACAAATAACATCGACCAAGTGTTTACCCTGCGCCAGGCTCTGTTACAGAGCAGGTGAGGACTCACTGATTCCTCACGCCCACCTGCTGGCCTGGCACCACTGTGAGCTCCAGTGAGAGCTGCAGACCTGGAGGAATGGAGACCCGGGACTGGGGCTTGGGGCCCGAACCGGCAGGGGCAGGACAGGGGCAGGGGTGGGGCAGCAGGTACTGTCCTGCCCCTCAGGGGCTGCTCACCTCGGGTGGGGCGAGGCCTGGCTGTCTTGGGCCCTAAGCTCCGGGTTGTTCCCTGGGTGTCCCCTGGGCTCCGGGGGAGCAGATAGACTGTGAATTGTGTGACATGTGACCTATTTGTGAGAGGCAGCCTCAGTCGCGTCGGCCATGTTGTCAGAAAGGAGTGGATCTCCAGAACTGAGCCCACAGGATGTGCGTGTGCGTGTGTTTGGGGTTGGTTACTGTGAGGAATCGACTCGCACAGCCGTGAGTCCACATTCACGTCTGCAGGGCCGCAGGCTGCAGACCCGGGAAGAGCCGCCACCCCTCTTCCTGGGGCCCTCGTTGTTCTCGTCTCTCTTAGACTCTCGTCTAAGAATAGCTTCACGGAAACATCTAGAATGATGGTTGACCGGCTTCGGCCACACCGACACATAAAACTACCCATCTCTCTGGTGTTTCCTGTCGTCCTCTCTCTGCGTCGGCCTCAGGCCTTCTTGTGTGAAGGCAGCCTCCGTCTGGCTGTCAGGCACCCAGAGGCCTGCAGGTGTGGGTCTCACCAGCAGCAACCCTCGGGGCCCGTCTGCCGCAGCTGCGGCCCTTCTGGTGGCCTTCGCAGACGAGGCTGGGATCAGGGTCGGGTGCTGCCCCGTTCCTGTCTGTCTGCTTCTCTTCTGGAATTTCGGGGAAGGGAGAAGCCCTGACTGGCCTCCATAGGGCTCCTTGTGCCCCTGCGATTAGCCAACTGAGGTCGGGGCTCAGGCTGCACGTGGCCCCCTGCACCCCAGCAGGTGCCCCCAGAGGGTCTCCCGTACAGATGGGAAAGGCAGATGGGCTGTGATTACTGGATTGCTTCTGGAGTATCGACAGATATCAATGCATAGGACACAGATGGTTCCTCATAGAAATGTGAGCTTGTTTCGGTTACCGTCCTCCACCCTCACGTCGTATTTTAAGACGGTGTGAGTCTTGGAACCTGGCCGTGGCCCCTCGCTGACGTTTGTCTTTCTCTCCCTTTCGACGCACAGAGGACGACGTGGACCTGGAGACGCTGGTGAACGACATGGATGCGTCCCTGGAGAGCCTGTGCGCGGCCGCGGAGACGGCGCCCCTCCTGCGCAATGGCCAGCATCCCCGCGGCCGGCCCCCCGGAGCAAGGCCCCTGCAGGGGCAGGTGGCCCCGCGGCAGAGGCTGCAACGGTCCCAGCCCATGCACATCCTCGCCGTCAGGTGGGCCCTGGCCTCCCCGCCAGGAGCGAGGGGTGGGTCTCGGGGTCACGGCGCCAGGCTCAACTTGGTGGGCCCCTTCCTTCCCTCTGTCTAGCAGGGCCGCTGGAGTACCTGCTGGTACCTGGTTCAGTTCAGGGCACTCGTATGTTATGAGCACCTGCTCTGTGCCAGGTTGGTGGAATGTGCAGAAACCCTGTCAGAGGAGACCACCCTGGAATAAATGAGCAAACGGCCAGGCAGCCCACGGAGGGTTCCCAGGCCTCACTGCCCAGAGTGGGGCCGGGGACCAAGGGCTGGTCAGGAAGGTGCAGCCTCAGACACCTGTCCTGTTCCCCCGGGGGCCAGGTGGAGGAGGGCTCCCTGGAGGAAGCAGACCTCTGAACTGGGCGTTGAAGGGTGAGGGGAGCTGAAGGATGTGGGGAAGAGATTTCCTGAGCAGGAGAGATGGGCCCTGGTGTCAGAAGTGGCCGGATCCCTTTCCTTTTTTACGGCTGAGCGTATGCATGCACGTGCCACGTGTATGTATCACGTTTTCTCTGTCCGTTCACCCATTGCCGGACAGCATGGACAGTATGCCAGGTAAATAGGACCCACGGAGAAGGACAGTTATGATGTGATTCCACTTCCACAAGGAACCTGAAAGCGTCAGGAGCATGGAGGCGGGAAGTGGAGAGCGTTGCCAGGGGCCGGGGGCCGGATGGGAGGTGCCGGTCGGAGGGTCCAGAGGGTCAGTTTAACCTGGTGGACGAGGCCTGCCGGCGTGCCGTGCAGCATGGCCTGAGTTAGCAGTGCTGCGCTGCGTGTTAAGGAGCTTGCTACAGGGCCAGGTCTCGTGTGACATGTTCTCATCACACACACGCACACAAAATGATAACAATAATAAACAGGTGAGGAGGGTGGGCGTGAACACTGGAGGATGTTTACAGCCAGACTGTGGTGACGGGTCACGGCGTGTTCTCTCTAAGCTCGTCCAGTTGTGGACATTGAATACACACAGCTTTGTGTGTCTATCAGACCTCCACAGAGAGGGTTAGAAAAGAGATCCCAACAGGTAGGGCCAGATCCAGAGGCCTTTGGGAGCCCCTCCAAGGGGAGAGACGGGGGAAGGGTTTGAGCAGGTGAGTGAGGCTTGGATTTGGGTTTCGGTGGGTAGTTCTGGCAGCCTGGGGTCAGGGGTGGGGGGGATTTGGAAGCTGTTTCAGGGACCAGCCTAGAGTGGCACTGTCCTGACCAGGGATGGGCGGGGGGGGGGCGGTGGATGAGATTTGTCAGCTCGTGGGTTTGGGGAGTGGGGGACAGAGGGTTGGGGGGACC